GAGGTGTAAGGAGCCTCTGGGACAACTTCAAGCGCACCAACATCTGAATTATAGGGGTGCCAGAAGAAGAGAGAGAGCAAGATATTAAAAACCTATTTGAAGAAATAATGACAGAAAATTTCCCCTACCTGGTGAAATAAATAGATTTGCAAGTCCAGGAAGCACAGAGAATACCAAACAAAAGGAATCCAAAGAGGACCACATCAAGACACATAATTAAAATGTCAAGGGCAAAAGACAAAGAGAGAATCTTAAAAGCAGCAAGAGAAAAACAGTTAGTTACCTACAAGGGAGTACCCATACGATTGTCAGCTGATTTCTCAACACAAACCATGCAGGACAGAAGAGAGTGGCAAGAAATATTCAAAGTGATGAATAGCAAGAACCTGCAACCGAGATTACTTTATCCAGCAAAGCTATCATTCAGAATAGAAGGTCAGATAAAGAGCTTCACGGCTAAGAAAAAGCTAAAGGAGTTCATCACCACCAAACCAGCATTACATGAAATGCTGAAAGGTATCCTTTAAGAAGAGGAAGAAGAAAAAGGAACTCTTGCCATTTGCCACAACATGGATGGAACCGGTGAGCAGATAAATACCACATGAACTCACTCATTTGTGGAATATAAGGAACAACATAAACTGATGAACAAGGACTGATCCAGAGATGGAGAGGCATTGATTGGACTGTGGGGCTTTGGAGGGAGGGTTTGGGAGGGTGGGGGTAAAGGGGAAAGAGCAACCAAAGGACTTACATGCAGGCATAGAGGCCTAACCAATGGACATGGACAACGGGGGGGGGGGGTGGAGGGTGATGTGGGGACAGGGACATATATGTAATACCTTAATCAATAAAAAATATATTAAAAGGAAAAAAAATATGACATATTCATTTAAATACTGATGATTACTTCTAAGATTCATAGATTTCAAAACTACTTTCTCCTTATGTGATACAATCTTAATGTATATATTCTCACTCTCACTTTAAAATATGTACTATTCATTTTAAAGCAGAAGTTATTTGTATGTGAATGTCATTTAGCTAATGTTTTTACTAAAGATAATACTAAATACTAAAGGCACGGTCATTGAAGAGAAGTTTCTTTTTCCCTGAAATTATCTTAAGGGAATATAGATTTTAGTACAAATAGATTTTAGGAATATTTTTATGTTAAAATAACATGCTTATGTCATTTTGGAATTTTTTTAAGTAAAAAATAGCCATATTTATTTTCAAATGAGAAATAGACTTTTAAATATTAGCTCATGAGAATATTGAAATAGTGGGTTATATAGATAACTTGCCTTTTCCTACCTCTCCTTGTTTCAATTATGAAAACGAAATGGAAAACTTTCTTAGGTATCATGTGATCTTTAAAACAATATAACATGTAAGATTAATTAATTTTTTAAACTCTCATATTTCATTATTAATTTTTATAATCTTGATTGAAGGTCACTTTCATGGCTTTCCATGCCATTTCTTCTCCCTACCCTCCCCCCATCTCTGCCAAAAGACCGTTGCTTGCCCTTCTAGATACTCAGATCCCTTCTGAAATCTCTAATTATCCAGCTGGAAAGAGTCTCTTCATTCTCCAGTGCCCTCCACCTGCTTTTAAGTATATTATTCACATAAAAGACAATGGAACACATGAGAAAGTGATTTGGCCTGGAGCATTCAACCTCCCTGAAGGATCAGAGAGATTGAGGCAAAGTTCCAGACACATGCTAACACACCACATTATTATCATTATTATTGTTATTATTATTATTATTATTTATTCACAAGGTTCATTGTCAAGGATACATTATTTTATCTTCCCAATTAAACTGTACACTGTTCTAGATAGGGCAGGGGCTACATTTCATAGTTCATGACTGTCATGAACTATGCAGCTGTGTTACAGTGGAAATTCCTGGAATTTGCATCAGAATAACCTGAGTTTGAGTCTTGTCTTTGTCACTTTAGTCTTCCAGATCTGTTTCTTCATTTGTAAAGTGGAAATGAATTCACTGCCTGACTCAGTGGATTGTTGTGAAGATAAAAATGTAAAAGTGTATGTAAGGTACATCAAATATACACCATCTTACAAATGTTTCGGATTGTTATTCCTGATTCATACCAGTAACTTAGAAACTTTAGCACATCAGATTCACCTATAGGGCTTGTTAAACAGGATGACTGGACTCACCCCCAGAGTTTCTTGTTCTGGAAGTCTGGGGTGGGCCAGAGAATGTGTTTCTCACAAGTTCCCAAGTGATGCTGATCTGGGAACCACACTTTGAGAACCACTGGTCTGGACATACTATAGCATAAAGGTTAACAGCATGGCCTCTACAGCCAGACATTTTGCTTAAAAGTTTGGCTCCGCCACCTATGTGACTATTACAAAACCTCTGCCACAAGTGTTTCTTCTGTAAAAGGGCCATACTAATAGTATCCCACTAAAGTGGTTGTGAGAGTTAAATGAGTTACCCTATGTGAAGTTCACTGAACTTTGCCTGGCATATTGTAAGCTCTGACTGCTACTTGTGGCTATCATCATCAACTTTATTCTTTTACTCTAAGAAGTAGAAAAGAATGATGACATTGGAGTTTGGAATTTATATTTTCTGCTCCATTGTCGTCTTAAAAATCTTTTTTATTGTGAAATATATATATATATATATATATATATATATAGCAAACCTAAAGAAAAAAATCCACAGATTATTTAGAACAAGACAATTTTAACCAAATGTTACCAAATGAATACCATGTCACTTCCTCCACCCAAGCTGAGAACTAGAAAATTGCCAGCTGTCAGAAGCCCCTTGTACCCAACTTTTCAGTCATACACTCCTGTCATTGCCTTTTAGTGAAACAGTATCTATGAAAACAGTATCTATATTTTACCTCCCTCTTAATTTGTCCTAAAATTTCTACTTTGGGGTATCTAGAGTTGCTGTTCCATACTTCTGAGGCTCAGCTAGATGGCCTTTAACTTCTATCATCATAATTGCCCTCTCCAATCACACCTTATTCTTAATTATCCCTTTTAACTTATGCAGAACCTCAGGCTGATGGTCTCAGGAAACCAAATACAGTATCATGACTCTTACAACAATTTCCTTTTTTTTAACTAACTGTGAAACTATCTCAGAAATAGTTTGGATAACTTCTGTGTTTATAGTCCCTCACCCTCATGTACTTTGAAGATTTGCTACCACCTTACATCCTAAGATCTATTCTTTTTTTAATCCTATATGATAATGTTATAATTAATATTATTAATTATTAATTTTATTTTATTTTCAAGCAATAAAAATGCCTTAAATTCCTTGAGGACTGGATCTTTTCCCATGTAGTAGAGAACTTATATTCTATAGCTGATTTAAATTTTCCCATTATTAGATTTTCTTTTAACCTAAAAATATTTTCTTCACTAATCATAAACTTAAAACTATAAATAAAACAACAACTTAAAACTTTGGAAATGGATGTGGGCATTTTCCTGGGCATTATTCCCTGTCACTGTCAGAACTAGCAAGCCTGGCATGCTGTTATTGCTCATATGCTCACCACTGATGCTTCAGGTCCTTGAGGTCTGCAAGTGTTTTGGAAATTGCTAAGCCTGAAGAAATGGAACTCAGTTTAAGATCTGTAATATTTTGAGAGGATCTATGTAAACTTAAATCTTATCTCTAGCCTGAAGGAGATGTTGAGTATTTAGGAATAACAAGGGAGAAGATGGGACTCTACCAAATCCCCAATACCAACTCCTTTCAAAATCTCAGACACTGTACTTTGATTGATTTGAAGGACCCCCATCGTTGTTCCTTGTCAGCCCGAGATGCTGAAGGCCTCCATTACAGTCACTTTCCTACCCATTATTTGGTAAATCACTCATATTTTCTTCTTAGATTCCATTCTGTGAAGAAGAAATTTATGGCAGAGCTCAAAGAATTACGACACAAGGAGCAGAGCCCATATGTTGTTCAAAGCATCATCAGCCTGATAATGGGGATGAAATTTTTTCGGATTAAGATGTACCCAGTGGAGGACTTTGAGGCCTCTCTTCAGTTTATGCAGGTAATATCTTCAGCAGAAAGACCAAGGGCTATCAGTTTGAGTGACTTCCTTCCTCAAAGTAACTCACCTGGAATGTGAAAACCCAGTTACTTGTCAAGGTGGAAAAAAAGTCCTACTTTTTCCTTAATAATTCAGAAAGGGCTTTGTAACCAAATAATAGAGTTGCAGGCATATAATTTTATTTTTAAACTTCACATCAACTTTGGAGCAGGGTGTCCAGGGGAATGTCTTATTTATTACTTCACATCAACTTTGGAGCAGGGTGTCCAGGGGGAATGTCTTATTTATTAACCTTTTCTTTCTCTCTCTCTCTCTCTCTCTCTCTCTCTCTCTCTCTCTCTCTCTCATCCATTGGCTACATATTGTTCTGTAAATAAAATATAGCTGATTTTTTTTACTGTTTAGAGTTAATAGCATTAGTTGGCTATGCTAATTCATAGGCATCAGAACTTTAAATAATGAAGAGATCTTTTTATTCATAGTATCAGAAGGAATTTAGAAAATTAACCAAGCCATACAGGTTTAGATGTCAATTACACGGTGTTTATTATTATGTGCTAACAAAGGAATTATTGTTAATGAGGATTCCACAGAATATACAGCTATTAAGTTTATAAAACTTTAGTATCTGAAGGGATACTTTTAATGCTGCTCTGAATCTGACCTAGTGAAAATCTTAATAAAGAGCTAAGATATAGTGGCTATGAATATAGCCTATATACCACTTCATATCCATTAAACCAGCTGGAATAAAAAAGATAGTGTTGCCCTGCTGATGTGGCTCAGTGGTTGAGCATTGACCTATGAACCAAGAGGTCAGGGTTGGCTTCCTAGTTAGAGCACA